AATCAGTATTTTAGCTCCACAAGTTTTTGTAACCCCTAATGTGTCCCAGACAAGTCTAAAACCCAGCTGCTGGTAATCCAATGTAGTCTCTTTTCTTAGTTTTCATATTTTTTAAATGAACAGATTATCAAAACTACCTTGTGATAAGTAGAAAGCCGAGTTCAACAGTGAGGTTGTTTCAAATTGAGAAACATTGCAACTGGAATAACAGGAAATTTCAGGCTGCTAAAATTAGTTCATGTGAATAATGACTTCTCATGCAAAACAGGTTTTGATAAAAACTCCGCTGGTGCATCCTCTGCAATGTGGCTATCATTAACAAGAAGCATTAGAGACTGTCACCAAAACAAAGCTATTCTTTACTAAGCCATCCTTCACCTTGCATATCACAGGAACAAATATTTGGCTAGAGTGTCGGTGCCCCAGAAACAGTTTGTTCTTCCAGTATCATAAACTGGAGGCTCTCATGTGTCTGGAGGCACTCAAACCGCTTGCCATAATAATAGCTCAAAGCATCTTTAATTTATGCCTGGCTTCTGTGTTGGATTCCCCCGAGTTTCCATCTTCCCGAATGACAACAGTCTGCTCAGAGTGGCTGTGAGGATTCATGGGAGAGGTGGGGACGTGATGCAGGACAGTGTGCTTGGATTGCCCTATGCATAAATAAATCTCAGACTGGTTTGGGCATGTGCAAGTAGCTCCAACTGTGCTGACTGTGGAGCTGGAAATGGCATATCCGGATGGGTGTGGTGATATATTCGAATTAATAACTCCTGCTCAGGGCAGCATTAACTACCAGCGTTGGACCAGCATGGCTGTGCTGCTGGTGTTTGTGGCATCTCAGCATCATGTCGTTCTGTGCAGGGCGAGCATGCTGGCTCTGCTACCTCCAGTGGTGTGGCACTGCTGAGACAGTAAACCTAGACGTTAAACCCGTGGCTATCACTGGTGATACTAGACACCCCAGCAGAGCTACTTCCTACCACCTTAGGGAAGGACCTCTCCTCTTCTCTGTCTTTACTGTACTCCTGACATCCACTTTCTTATGAGGCCACATCTGCAGTTTCTGGCTATTCCTGGAAGCAAGGATGAGATCCAGTTCAGGATTAAGACCCATAAGATGTGGGTTGGGTTTCTAAGCTCCCATCACAGTCAACAGAGATGGAGTTAACGAAGACTGTAGAGTGATGCAAATGTACCACAAAGCAGATAAAACCATACTGTGAAGGCAAGGGGCTGAATACAGAACAGAGTGTGATCCAGTAGCTCCAGCATGAGCATTTGGTGCTGTTTGACATGGTCCATGGTCTCCTGCTTGGTCTCCATGTGCCACTCCAGAAGGAAGGTCTCCGCAGTGTGTTACACTTGACAAATCCACATGGCTGTCCCAGACACCCCAGTGTGGCACTAAACAGGTATGTTTAGGCAACTGAAAGGCACATCCTGGTGAAATGACTGCTTGCATTGACCCAAGCTGGGTTGAGGTGCTCACATGTAGATACCAGTGCCACTGGAGAAGCTGTCAAGTGCATAGAACCCTTGTTTCCAGCTGGCAGGTATGCCATGGGGGGTGGACTGTCCTGAAGCACTAAGCACCTACATGAGGCCAACCAAAATGAGTCCTGAAGAGCTGCTCACTATAGCAGGAGCTGAAGGATGTAGCTCACATGCAGAAATATTCAAGGAGGTGGTTTGATCTCAGACCCAACCTCACCCAAGCAGTAGCAGTCTGTCAAACACATGACCACGCTCCTTCTACAGCAATGTGTTATTGCCATTCATTTTGATGGTATGTAATACAAATCAGGTCCTTGTTACGTGAAGCACAGAAACCCTGAAAAAGTTTCCTTGTCCTGAAAATATCAATTCACAGGGACCTGTTGTTACTAAACTGATTTAAGCCTTCAGGGTTGGGAATTCCCCACACAGCAAATGGGGAATTTAGATTTGAGGAGTGTGTATGCCTTTCTTGACAAGTCCAGCACGTGCTGATGTGGAAAACAGATCAGAAAATGACTGGTCTGAACCTTGCAGAAAAAGTAGCCTCACTTAGGAAGCTGGGGGCGGGGGTGTTTATGGATGAGATTGAAACCTTTCACCTATTGAAGATGTGTTCATTAACCTGAGTGGTGGGGGGCATATTGCTTAGCATTACCTCATTCATATTCCTTAGCAAGATGCATAAAAGCAACAAGTTAAATAACAAGTCTGCCAGCAAAAAAAACCTTTAGTGCATGAGCCATGGTTAAATGGGAAAACCAGGAGGAAGGCAGAGCCAAGTTTACCTCCAGGCAATCAGGATGCAACAGTTCACCCCTCCTGTGAGCTGCCAGATAGACACATATTTTCATGGTCAATATTTGACAATAAACTGAGCCTGGGCAGTAGTCAAGCCTGGAAGTGAGGCAGCGTACTGGTCTCTTCCACCTGCACCCTCCTTCCTCCTGCTCTCTGAAGCTGTTACTCAACAAAGTACTACAAAAGCAACAGAGAAGACTACTTAATTGTCCTACCATGGCTGAGAAGGACCAAAACCATCAAAAAACCCCAACCTCTATGCCTTCCATGCTCAGGTTTGCTTGTGGAAGATGACAAGTTTGAGTCAGCACACACCATCTTCATCTAAAAGAGCACTAGGGAATGATGTGGGAAGCAGTCTCTGAGGGATTCTAGCATGCCTGCTGTCTTCCTCACTGCTGTAGCATGTCCCGCTGGGCTTTGTAACAAAGTCAGAATCAGCACTGTTGATTTTTGCTTTGTTATGCAAAAGTTTTTTGCATCCTGCTGTTAATGGTTGCTTCAAGATAAATCCAACCCCATGCAAAGTTTTGCACTCAAGAAGTTTTCAAATATTCATGTAGACTGGCAAACCCAGTCATAAAGCTGGTGATTTTAGGCAGGGCTTTGTTTTAAATAAATAAAGATACATGCAAATACATAGGTTATCTTGATATAAAAAAGTTATTTTGAGTAGCACATAGCTTATGCTCAAGATTCAATGAAAATGTAAAGAGTGAACACTTGCACAGAGTGGATATTACAGCAATGAGGTTTGTCCTGGCAAAAATAGTTCTACTACACCATCAAAAAGTTATTCATGTCGACAAGCCATGAAACGTTTGCATAAGGAGAAAGGGAACAAAGTAGGAATGCTTTAATGCTGTGCCTCATTGGAGCTGCTTTTTCCTTCAGTCTTGTGTAACTGTGACAGTTGTACAAAAAAGGGAAAAATAAAAAAAGGGAAAGCACTGGTAATGCTGGCATGAAAAGACATTTGTTTCTGCAGCAGTCAACAGCTACACAGCAGCTCTGTGCTCTCTTGTACAAAAGGAACAGCCTTGTTGTGCTCTGCATGGTCACCCTGAGTCAGCCCATGGTGACAGCTTGACCTCCTCTTGAAAACCCACATGAATAGCTCCTGCTTCAAAGTCTGCTATGCCGTGCAGAAGCAACTTGTGCAATTGTTATTTGAATGACATACATGGACCCATGAACCTGAGCCCTGAGCATAGACCGCCCCATTAAGACAGGTCCTACAGCTTCACAGACTAAAAGTTCTGCATTTTCCTCTCAACCCAAATATTAGCAATGATTTCATATGCACGTGCACACAGAGCTGGATTCAGATGATGGTGCCCAGAAATGTTATGTGTGGCCTGGACAGCATTAATGACCCCTGGTACCACAGTATCCCTGCAACCACAGTGGCCAGCACACCTTTCCAATCCTTCCAAGTGTTGTTGCTGGTGCAGGAGGTGGCTTACCTACTTCCATGGCTCAAGCACTGAAGGTGCACCCATATCTAGAGTACTGGCTGCTCCATTTCATGAACAGAAGTCTGGATATAAGGAAAACAGGAACAGGCTGCCCAGAGAGGTTGTGGAGTCTCCTTCTCTGGAGATGTTCAAAACCCACCTGGATGCAGTCCTGTGCAACCTGCACTAGGTGAACTTGCTTTGGCAGGGGGGTTGGACTAGATGATCTCCAAAGGTCCCTTCCAACTCCTACCATTCTGTGATTCTGTGAAAGACCTTTTCCTCATGAGGACAGTCAAGCAGTGGAACAGGTTGACCACAGACCTTGTGCAGTCTCTGTCTTTGGAGGATTTCAAAACCCAGGTGGATAAAGCCCTAAACAACCTAACCTGATTTCAAGAACAGGACTTCCTGAGGTCCCCTCGCATCTAAATTATCCTAGTAAGCCTTTGTGATGAATGAGGACAGGCACTATATCTCCATAAATATATAAGTTCTGAGACCTATCCACCACTTTGGAGAATGCACAGAAATCCTGGTCTTGTAGCTTTCTCAAGCAACCAATCCCCAGTCCTTTAAGCAGCAATTAGCCCCATTAGAGGAGCAAATCCCAGCCACTAATGCAGAGGCTTAATGGCTTGATGGAAGAGTGACAGAACTGACAGGGCAGAAATCAGCTCACCCTCTCTTATAGGACCTGATGGTTGGATGTGTTAGGAAAATTTTCAGTAAATTTTCAATGTTTTTTATTATGTTTTGATGAGAATAATTCACTGCGGTAACAGGAAAAGCTCTTCCCCCCTTATTTCCTTCTGTGCCCTCCCCAGGGAACAAAAAGCCATTATGGTGACACCTTGAGAGAGGTGGCACTTCAGGATACACCTGTGGACATGACGCTATGCTCTGTGGATATGGCCAAATTTGTTCCTTGTCAAAGCTAACCTGAGCAGAGGAGGGAATAAATTCACTAACATCACTACATGGACAAGCCCATACTATTGCACACAGTGTAGTTCAGGCAGGAGCAAGGATTTTTGCTTTTGAAGGGTCTTGGTTCATTTCTTACCACTTCTGCCCAAATGTCAGCCTTTATGTACCTGGGAGGTGTCCAGGATTCATGTTATTCTGCATTACAAGTGTCAGAGATTAACTTTTTTGGCCTAGAGTAAGTGGGTAACTATATGGTGGGAGAGCATGTTGCAGGTCCCAAAGTTGCCCGTGACTGAAGACCCAACAGATACTCACAGGATGTATGCGATGACCCCGATGGACCAGCAGTCCACGGCTTTGCTGTAGGGTTTCTGGGCCAGTACTTCAGGAGCTGAAAATATAAAGCCAAACAAACACATGTTACAAGACCAAACATTTGAATGTGGTCAAGAGGTAGGACCTTGAATCTTGAAGCTCCTTGTGTTGCCCTCCAGATACAGCCCTCGCATTTCCAAATATCCTGATGACTTTGTGGCTCATATTCTCATAAAGAAGGATGATTCCTAAAGTGGAGCACATTCTCCATTTTCTGTCTCCAAGGACAGAAAATAAAACCAAGCACAGAAAAATGCATGAGGCAGAGGGCCATCACACCCCTGTCAGAGGAACTTTAGGAGACTTGGAGGAAAATGAGGCCACGCTTTGCACTGGTGCTGAGAGGCACATTCACCCTGACAGCCTTGCAGCTCCACTGTGTCGTGCTGCCAAATGGAGGACTTCAAGAGACAACTCAAAGTGCAGTGTGTCAGGGAGGAGGCAAGTTACTTCTGCAGGAGAGGAAGGAGAGCTGTCACCATACCTCCCAACAGCTGCCTTCAAATCCTGCTGCATGTCAGAGTCCAAGGGAGTCATTTGTCCTTCTGCCTCTGGGAACACAGACACCTCAGAGGGAGAAATGAAAAATAGCAGGAATTGGACAAATGCACAAAGGAATTGAGCTTTCTGCCTCTATGCCTTTCAGCCACCATAGTCTGAATTTTGCTAGAAGTGAAAACCTGGACATTTATTGAAACTTTTTAGGGGTCTGCTTTCCTTTCTTACACCAGTGAGAATTAAAAAGGTGCATTTTTGTTTGGGAGCCTGGAGTATTATGTTTTCCCTGTTGGGACCTTTCAGTGCAAATGCTTAAACCTAAATTTTAAAATCCTGTGACTCTAATCTTTTTCATGTAAAGAAGCTTTTGCTTTTTTTTCCAAAGTAAAATGTCCACAATAACGCAAGAAACCACTGCTTGTGGCATTCCTAAAGCAGACTTGTCACACTGGGTTTTAAAAAGCACAGTATTTCTTCTGAGTACTTTGTAGTTCAAATGCTGCAAAAAAAGTAACAAAGAGGCAAGTCTCAGAAAAATATTTCCTTGGGGTTACACCTTCCTCTGCTAGGAGCCTTATCAACATCAAAACAGTTAGTTTGGGTAATGAAAAAAAATTGTGAAGCACATCAATGTATTAAAACTTGAGCCTCACATTTAGTTGCTACATATACTTTGGTGTACTGGTAAGGACTCTTCAAAGAGTTATTTTCTTAAGCTAGACAAGTCAACAAAACTAAGGTCAAAACTGCCAGCAAGGAAGGGAACAGGAAGCAATAACAAGAAACAGAAAAGACTTTCTGTTGCTGGGGCATGAGATCTTATAGAAGGGATTGAAGGGAAGACAGTGCACAAGGCAGATAAGAGCATTCAGGTTGCATTTCCACGAGCAACAGAATAATGGGGAGATACTGTAAAAAGGAATAAAATCCAAGGGAATATGGGTAGAAATATAGCTGGCAGCCAGATTCTGAAAACTCTTGAAGATAGGGATATGCCCCAATCTGCAGCACAGGGTAAATATTACCCCAAACTTCAACTCATCCGGCAAACTGCGACCACTGCATGCATAAGGGATTAAAATGATGGTTCTGTTCGCATATTGTTAATCCTAATACACTGTTGTAATGTGTGAATACTCCAACATCTATCCACTACAAGCCAAAGGAGGTTTCTTTCACCGTGCCTACCATGAACGGCTCCTAACCTGGCTCTAGGTGCTTGTCAGAAACCTGCACCCCGGTTCCCAAGAAGCCCCTGACTCCATGCAGGACATGGGCAGGCTGCTGTAGTTATCAAGATAAAAGTTAAAACATTCTTACTACAAGAGAGGACAGAGCTGTGGAAATATAAAAGGCATCTTCAGTTGATGCCCAAAAGCCAACTCCTTTCCCAACAGCTAGGCCAACATCTGTGTGTCAGGTTGGCGCTCATCAGTCTGGTGGGGTGAATTTGGAGAACTTGGGATAAAAGAGTAAAGCACTGGAAAGCCACCCTATTTGGCCTGCCATGGCCTCCCAGATAACCTGGTAAGCTGACAGTCTATCAAATTTAAATTTTACTTGTATAAACCAGTTGTACCTCAAAGGTCCCAGACAATCCTTGTGTCCCTTAACCTGACTCTTTCTTTCATGAGTCATCAGAACTTGCTTCCAAGTTTTCCACTAAAAAGAATCTTTTTTCAAAATGTGCAGCAAATAGTGTATGTGAGACTCTGTTTCCTTTTTTCTCCCATCCCTTGTGACTGAATTTTGTGACAAAATATGCTGAAGAATGGAGTTCATTTTCCTCTATCCTTAGGTGATTAGATGTCTTCCAACTTTCCAGTCCTTCCAAATTCCCAATATTTTATTCACATATCTCTTCTACCTTTTAGTGTGTGCTCCTCTTTACATCATTTTCAAGACTGGTAAACATTATACATCTTATATCCCACAAAGAAAATATTATGCAAATGGCTCCTGAGCACCAAGGATCCTTGCGAGCTCCTGACATTATACAGATATGCCACATTAGCATAACAGAAAACAAATCTGAGATGAGGGGACGTGAACTATATAAAGATTCTCCCTCATAAAACATCAAAGCTGTGCTGGGGCATTTCTCTCAGTTTTAAGGAAGGGAAGAGCACTGGTAACAGAGAGTTTCTACTGTGGATGGTGGCTGTGAAGCAGGTAAGAAGACAGCAGAGTCAAGGCCAAAGCAAATGTGAGGCTATTATCTCAACTTTGGTAAACTTTAATGAAGAAAGACAGGAGCTTTAGATAATTACTTTAAAGCCAAATGGTTGCTTTTGTTTTTTGTTCCAAAGGGCAGACACACAACAGGAGCAGGAGAACATAGCTAAGCATCATCTGTCTCTGATATATGGAAAAGATGGAAAGATTTAATGAGCTGAAAAACAAGTGTGAGGAGCTCTTAGAAATGATTGTAGATCACTACCAAGAGGCAAAAGCAGAGATGTAATTAAAAAAATCCAAGAGCTGATGTCACTAAAGGATCAACACAGATGGCTGAGGAGACAAAACAGCAGTAAGGAGAACAGGAAAGTCAAAGCTCCCCTTTCTGGTGCTGGGAAAATGCCAGCTGAGCTTCCAGTACTGCACATCCCCAGGGAACCACTGTGGGCTCAAATGCTACACAACAGTCAATCAGAGATGGGGAAGTCAACAAAGCAAACCCTGACCCTTCCTCCGCATCCAGGAACTGTGCTTCAGGCCAAACCAGCATGCAACCAGAAACACGTGTCAGGTAAAATGCTGGGTAATGGTCCCAGGGTCTCATCTCACCTGCAGGTATGCGCAGGAACACTTCCCAGGGCACTCCACTTCCAAGCTAGATGAACTGCTGTATTACAGTTTTCTTTGTTGAATTATGTTTTGTTTTTAAGAAGAGAAAAAAATTAAAGATTTGTTTCAAATGGAGGTTTTTAAGAAAAGGTACAAAACAGGAACATTTGGAAACCTTTCAGGGCACTATGTTATTACCCCTCAGTGAGCACAGCCATACTAATAAGCTCCCTAAAAATGCAGCTGCTGGATGCCAAAACCAGCAATCCATGTTCTTGCAAAGAGCTCAAGTGATGGGGATTGTTCTGATACTTTAAGCCTGTTGAACAAACTGTACAAGTCATGAGGGTGCCTGTTCTTCATACCAGCCTCACACTTAAAAGCAATTCTCCTTCACTCCCATGATGGTGCTACTCCCAGCAGATTTTGCTGTCTCACAAGAATTCAGTCTAATGCTATTTTCTGTGGTTTATATGGATTCCCACAAGCTGGATGCCAGAAGGAACAAGGCATTTGAACAAAGGGTGATGATTTTGAAGATCCCCATAGGAGTGACAAATCAGCAGGCTGCCATGTATGTGGGAGGAATAAAGAGATCTAAATAGGGTTAAAGTAACCATGGACCTGCTTACGCTGGACATGGACACAGCTCAACTGGCCAAGCAAATTGGCCTGGTGCTAGCCAGGACTAGTAGTTCAGCTAGTAACTATTTTAGTGCCAGTTTCCATCACCTAGGCAGGTCCTGCAAGTAAAGAAAGCAAAACATGAATGGGCTGTGCAGGTGCAAGATGGCCATGAAGTCCAAGAGGGAAGGTGAGTAACAGGCAGAGTTTGTAAGGGACACTAAAAGGAGATGATGTCCCTTTGATGTCCAGCCCCATTGCTTAGGACGTTTGAAGGCACCACCTCAAGAGGATGGACAGAGAGGAACAATCCTGCACCACTGACAAGATGGTTGGATACACAAAGGGCCAACCCAGCCCCTTTCCTGAAGCCAAAGACAGAAGAGCAAGAGCAGTGTGAGCTCCCCTGCTGCCATACAAAGCATCTTCCTCACAACGTAAACAGGCTAAGAGGCACACAAAGAAGCTTCACCACAAGACCAGGGTCCCCCTTCCACTGACACACTGAAGATGAAAACAATCTCTTTCTCGCTTTCACGCAGTCCTCCAGTGTTCATCTTGTTCTGGTTGGCCAAGACTTTGCAGTTGGAGACTGTTTCCAAAGGACAGCGGGGTTTTGGAGCAGCTCTGCTGGTTTCTTGTGCTCCTGTTGTCTCTATTTCGTGTTGCTGAGACAGACTTAGATAGCCATCATGGAACATAACACAGCTACAGCCACACACAAGCAAACACCATTTCAGGATATGGCAATGGAGCTGAGCAATCGCACTCTCAGGAGCTTGTGCCTGCAAACCCTAGTGAGAGCAGTTCCCATGCTTTATTTTTACTTTATTACTCATGTTACTGCCTAAACAGCTCCTGGGGTTGCTTTTTGCTAAGAAGGATACTCCAAAGGCTTACTGAATATTTTCAAACATTTCACTCAAAGGATACCAAAAAAGTCAAAATTAAATATAGAATTGTATTGCTTACTTAAATGCTTTGGTCTTGTACAGGGCTAGGAGAAATGCACGGCTTTGGTGTGATCTGAAATTGCTACTGGATTTCTGGCAGAGCTGAAAGGTGTGAAATGACCTTTCATAAAAGCACTACTGAGAATAAAAACAGTGAGTGAGGTGGGATGTATAGGGACCAACCACACAGCCAAGGTCCAGCCCAATCCCTACGACAGGGAAATACAAGAAAATATTACTTGAAGTTGGGTTGGGACTCAGAGCAAGAATTTTAAATCTCAGTAGGATTAAGATATTAGCAAGCCACAAACACAGTTCATAATTCAGCATTTTTGCAAAAGGAGATCAGATTGCCTGAGACAGGCTTTCTAACATTTTTTTTCAAACTTTTCCATGCTCATAAGCATCTTGCAAATCTGCAAGTCCCATCTACAGAAGTAACCAAAGCTTTTGAGAGATCAACTCTCATGAAAAATCAGTCAGTGAGACCTAATTCCCAAACAGCCAAAAATCTCTTCAGAGGAATTAGCTGAGTGACTGAAGCTGCTTCCTGGTGAGTGCCCAACTTGACACACCTCAAGGGTGACACATATTCAGGCAGTTCTGAACACCTTCTGCATCAAAATCACGTTCTTATAAACAGTTTCAAGCCGAGCAACCAATGACAGATCGCTAATGGATTATACAGATCTTGCACATAATCACACAGATCACTCAGGGTTTTGAAAATACCACTTCTTCTCCAGTCTAGAAGACGGGGTGGGATCCATGCAAGCCAGTCCACACACCTAATTTGTAATGACATAAGCAACACACGCTGCCTCATCCTACCCAATTTAGGTGCTATCTAGAAGTTGAGCGGACAGTCCCAGCTCATCACCTAGACTCCTTCCATAAGAAATGGAGAGAGAAGAGTCCTAAGCAGGTAAGAAAATGGAAGACTTTTCATTAGAAGAGGTTGCATTATCAGATCCCCTCTTAAGTAAGATTAGATTTTCATCTTAACAAAAGTGCCTCAACTAAATCTAATTGGGTTAAATTATCCTAATTGTCATATTTTCACCATAGGAGCAAAATCTCTGACCAGACTCCTGAAAGAATATGATCTCTGAACTGTTAACAGCAATTTAATCTGTAAAGCAAAGCCTAAAAGATAACATGCTAATGCACAACCAGTTATGCACATTTTAGGTACACTCTAATTTGATAAGTAATACTTTGATTTTCAGAACAAAAACTGATACTTATGAAGTTTAATTCTAATTACAATCTCCTTTATACAATGAATTTCTGTACCACATAAACAGGAATTTAGTGTCGTGGGTATCACCATTTTTGGAGCTTAAGTTAAGAAAAGCTGAGTTAAAAACTGGATCACACAGAGTTGAAAGAATATCTCAATCAGGGAAATCAGATAGAAACAGCAGGGGCCTTGCATAATTGCAAATACTTGCAAAGGGCAGCAGACCTGAGTTAAGATCAGGTTGGCTACCCAAGTCAGAAGCTTGTCCAGCACCTTGTACAGCAGGATCCAACTGGATCCATTTCTGGAGATAAAGAAGGATAAGTGCTAATGACTTTAACTGAGCCCTCGTGCCTTCAGCATGTGATAACGTGCCTATTTTTTTTTCTAGTAATTTAAAAGTAAAGTGGTTAAACTGACAAAAATAATTCAGTCCTCGTAATATCATAGAAAATGGGATATTCTACATATCTTTAAAGAGAAGCACCAGGAACTGCACTTTAAGTGATAGGTCTGCAAGTGTTACTTCAACACTAGGTAAAATGGCTGGGAAAATGACTCAAAAAAAGTTGGCAGAGAGGACATATCATGGGCCAGCACTGTGACCCGTGTCTCGCCTGATCCAGCCAAGAACACATATCTGTGTTGTGCCATTATGGGGAAGGACTCTTAGATTTATTTGAGGGCATTTTAAGAAAGCGCTGAACGTTGGAGTGACACTGGAAGACATGAAAGCTTTTGGATGCAGACAAATTGCAGACCTTGTTTGCAGAAGCCATGTCATCAAGTAGAACACTCATGGAGGCCCATTTGTGGGCACCACCACAGTGACTGACAACAAAAATTTTCTGTGCTTGGAAAATGTTGTCTGGGCAACCAATTACATTTTAAAAAATGAAAGTAGCACTAAAGAGGAGCTGTCTCCTGTGCAAAAGAGAAATAGAATAAATATTTAAAGAGGTTTTCTTTGTGAGACAGGGAAAAAACTCATGTCAGCAATTCAGAAATAAGCGACCATGACCTCTTGAACCATGATGAGTAAATCCTGTAGTTCAGTAAGGTAACAACAGGCCTGGAGGCACTTGTGTAACTATCAGCGCCCAGACCATGAGTAATGAGAGCTCTCAAACATCTCTCAAAGCACTATAATTCGTGTCACATGCTCTGGAGCTTCCTCTCCGAAATAGCAAGTTTTCTTATGTAAATGGCTACACAGAGAGGCCGTATGAGATCACCCAGTGCCCAAGCAGAGCCGCACTTCCTCATTTTCATCAGCGCTTCAGTAAACATCATCTGAGCTTCCCTGCATCTCACAGACTTATTCTAGTCAGTGTCCCTTTCAGAACAAAATAGAACATGTTAATTAAGGACAGAAGAGCTGACAGCAAAAATTATGAAAATTGCTGTCTCAGCTCAATTCTTTCTAGAGAGCATTGGAAGAAGATTTCCAGTCTGGTGTGATTACACAAGACAGCTATTCAGGCATCCTGACTCATATGTCTTAAAATAAATAAAATGATGGGCTGACGACTTCATGATGGGGAAACCAAAGAAATGTGTTCCTTTTTCTGATGTTATTAGGATAGAGTGCCTTTGTAGCATGAAGATAATGCCTGGAAAGAGGTATTCCTGGGACAAATCTGCATCATTTGTTTGAGTTCTCGTACCATGGTATCATCAGAGCTATGAACACACAGGTGAGGGGGCAGCTGCAAAGCAAAAGGAGACTCTCTCTGACTGCTGGAAAACATCACGTCTTTCCTACCACAAAGATGTAAGACAAATCTGCCTCTGGGGAAGCCACTGTCATTTTAGTTGCATGGATTTCATAGATACCAAGAGATCAATTTTACTGTCTCAGCTGACTATTGTAGGAGGTACAGGCTTGCTGGACCCATCATGCACACAGTGAGCCTTTTAAATAGTGTTTGCTCAAATAGACCCTGTCATCACCTGCCATATAATTCTCATATTCAATTGCTTTTTCCTGTTTTAAAAGGATGCTGGTAAACACACTGCTAATCAGCATCCTGGTACTATCACCACTGAATGGATAGAAGAGCAAAGAATAAATGACAGGAAACAATTTGATACCACCCAGCAATGCCCAAGGATCTAAAGAGCTTTTGCATTCTGACGTCTAGGTGTCAGGAACTTAACAAGGTTGTAACAGCGGATTACTGAACATGTCTGAGTAAATGCAGCTCTGTCATTTTACTGTCTTCTATCAGGAGAACCTGTTAAATGATATCCTTTATGATTAATATAATATGTTACATTAGATAAAGCTTCTTGGTTTTATAGGTGCTTGCAGAATAACTACATTTGATGCTATTCTTCACATGCTCCTGATTTAGCTACAGGCAGTGGCTCTGAGAAAACTCATTCTGTAAAGGATTAAAATCATGAAAGTGAATCCCACAAACCCAGAGCTGGATTGCAGAATGAGGACCCAAAGGAGAAGAGCACACAAGACAGAGCACCAGCAACTTCTGAAATCTAACTAACATCTGTAAAATCTCACGTGCACTATGTATCAGCACTAGAAAACAAGTGTTATTTCCTTTTCACTATGTGTCTGTATTGCAGCTGGGAAGAGTGGACAGACAATATAACCAAACCTCTTACCAACATAGCCAGGAGTCCCGCAGGCTGTGGACATCACATCTCCCTTACCCTCCATCTTTGACAACCCAAAGTCACTGATCATGATTTTTGACTCTTCATCCTGGCTGTAGTAAAGCAGGTTCTCAGGCTAGAAAGGAGAACAAGCAAAATGGGTTTTGAATATGCAACTCCTGTAACAACAGTGTGGGCTGATGTGTTGAATTTAATACAACCCTTAGTTACATCATGAACGATTATAATTTGGTTCCCCTAAATCCTAAAGAGTTGCTCTTACAACCTATATGGAGATTCTCTCCAGACTCCTGTATGGCAACTAATGGAAGAAGCTGACATCTTCAGCTCTGAGTAACTTTCCCGGGATAACAAACTTCTCCAAATAAGAACTAAGGCTCAGCCCTTACTTGTCAGGTGTGTCTGACATATCATCACTCCAGAGTGATAAAACAGAATAATTCATTTGAAGGCAGGTAAATATGGTAAATCCAGTGTAATTAATTATGTTTTCTACAGCATTTTAAAGAAGAAAAACAAAACCAGTAGATATTAGAGAATTTTTGTATTTCCTCCACTGGAAATACACAGTTATAAGAGAGGAAATGCCTTTACAGTTAATAGACTTGCAGGAAGAATATTTCAGCTAAAGTCAATTAGGAAAAAATGCTACAGCACTAAGTGCAGCAACTTGTCTATGCGGAGGGAAAACACAAATCACTCCACAAAGCCCCATGACTTTATACCAACATCAGGCAGGTTGGAGAGCCCAACCAGCCCCCATCTGCTACAGCATATTCCTCCATCCATATATTTTGAATGTGCTACTGATACACAGCAAAGTTCTTGCTAGGTGCTGTGAGAGCACACTTCTGCTGCCTGTCAGAAAAGGATGTGGGGATGTTGGTCGACAGCCAGCTGAACATGAGCCAGCAGTGTGCCCAGGTGGCCAAGAAGGGCAATGGCATCCTGGCCTGTGTCAGGGACAGTGTGACCAGCAGGACGAGAGAAATGATTGTCCCCCTGTACCGGGCACTGGTGAGGCAGCACCTCGAGTGCTGCTGTCTGAACCTCAAACACTGTGTCCAGTTTTGGACCCCTCATTACAAGAAGGACATGGAGGTGCTGGAGCATGTCCAGAGAAGGGCAATGGAGCTGGGGAAGCGTCTGGAAAACAAGTGTGATGAGTTCTCAGCTGAGGTATCTGGGGTTGTTGAGCCTGGAGATAAGGAGGCTGAGGGGAGACCTTCTCACTCTCTACAACTACCTGAAAGGAGGTTGTGGCAAGGTAGGTGTCTTGGCCTTTTCTCCCAAGTAATAAGAGGAAATGGCCTGAAGTTGCACCAGGGAAGGTTTAGACTGGATATTAGGAAAAATTTCCTCACTGCAAGGGTTATGAAGCACTGGAACAGGATGCACAGGGAAGTGGTTGAATCACCATGCCTGGCGGTATTTAAAAGATGTGTAGATGTGTTGCTTAGGGACATGGTTTAGAGGTGGACTTGGCATTGGTAGGTTAGTGGTTGGACTTGATGATTTTAAAGGTCTTTTCCAACCTAAACAGTTCTATGATTCTATGATTGTATGCTTCTTTCTCATGATACCTCATAAGTCCAGTGCTTTAACTGGCTGTTATAATGCTGACACTGTTTTCAGGCACCACATGAGTCAGTTTTATGCCCTGGTCTGCCTTTGGTTGGAGTTACTTCTGATTTTTACTAGTGCACTTCTGATCTGATGGGGGGTTGGTAGAGCTGGTATTAAGGGAAAGACAATTATTCCCCAGTGATTTCTGCTAAGTCACCTCAGGCCCCCACTTACCCATATTTAGTAAGGCCAAGAAACTCACCCATTTAAAACAGAAATGTGTTTAAAACCTGTTCAAAAGAACTTTGGTTCTTCAAGTTGGTTAATTCTAAAAGCGCTAACGAGGTGGCTCTGTACCAAGTGGAGCTGCTTGAGCTTTTCAGTCCTTTTGTACATCTTGGACTTCCCTGGACTTCATCTGCTGCCATCTCTTGTTATCTGCTGCTGTGTTATTTAGATTAGAGATCTGGAGTATAGATTTGCTTTTTCCAACTACAGCAAGTACTATTTTGGTATCTGAATAACACATAATGACAGTAAATAATTGTTACAGATGTTTCAAGGGTTGTATTTATATAGAGTGGATTCTTTCCCAGAGTTTCATTTTGGGGGAATCATAATTTGAAATGTGCGCTTATCTTGACATTTGGAGATCATAAAAAGCCTTATTATATCACTTTTTTTGCCATCATGATATCTTTGTGCTAACAGAAATTCACAGCAGGTGTTCCTCATATACTATATTTTCGGAGTCATTTTAACAACTGATACGGTACTGACAGAGACTTGCAAACAAAAAGAAAGAAAGAAAAAGAGATAGTGTTTTCCCCGAAATACCACTGGAGAAGGTTGGTTTAATCTAAATTCAGCATTTCTTTACATAAACTCTGAAAGTAATTTGTAGGTGAATCCACTTTCCAGTTATGAGAACTCATATTTTATTACAGGATATTTTTAATAACATTATTCTGTTTTAAAGTGAGAGCTACAGCCTCCCTTTAAATTATAAAGAGAGGGATATTAAGAACATGTACAACTAAATATCTGAATTAAGAGGACTCAGACCTCCCTCCAAAACCTCTGGTTGCAGAAAGAAGTCTGAAGTTATTTCCTACAAATTGAAGCAGGGAGAAAGCTGGTCATGTTAAAATACTAACCATCAATTCCACGTTGAAATGCTGTGGAACTCTAATAAATATGAGAATATTTCTATGATGTACTTCAGCATAAGAGCAAGAAATGAAGGGGAACTGAGGGCAACACGTGAGGACTGTAGGAGATGGAAGACTAATCAGTGCCTCCTTAGAGCAAACCCATTCTTTGGGACTGTTAGGACTAAACTGCACAACACTGAAGAGGAAATATTGTTTGTGTACATCAGTGCATATTTTCCTTCAGTGGATTCAAGGTTTTGCCTTAAAAATGTGACAAATCAGTGCTGCCTGTCTTGGGCACTGCTCCACCTTGGAGAACTGTGGTGCTGGCGGTCACACCAGTAATGGGCTCCGTTTTGGCCCACACAAAATGGCATCACATTGTGGGAACAAGCCTATCATTTCTTATTTTACACCATCAGCATTTCACATTAGCACTTATTTTGGAGGAGATAAAAAGCAAACAATAGTATCTCTCATCACTACAATTTTTCATCCATCTTAAGACAAAACAGTGAGGTCACATTCCTGGCACTACAACCTTCGTTATGAGGACTTGCCAAAATTGCAAACATGCAGTTTAATATTAGACTGTATTAAAAACACAATTAATTTTAAAATACATTTGATAAAAAATTGTATTTAAGAAGTAAAAAAAGAGTAAAAACCCCCTTCTTTGTGGCTCTTGATTCTATTAATGTTCATTAAGCCTTTACATAATATGACCCACTTAGTCAAATTCCACTATCTCTACATGGGTACAAGTCAAAGCCACAGCATCAACATCCAAAGCAACTCCTGTTTGGAGCATCGCTCCACACAACCAGAGGTGTTATCTCATTCACTGAATTCTTAATTTCTGGCAGTAAACGTTGATAGAATTAACTAGCTCAGGAACTGAAACCACACTTTTCTTTTGACATTTATATCTTTTTCTGATGCCTCCTGCTGATTTATTGTTTAAGATAGTAAAGACGAGGAGGTTTAGCTGCGTGTTATGAAATGTAAGCCTTTCTGCTTATTTTATTAATATATAGGAAGGAAACAACACAGAAATAATGTCTTAAGGGTTTTTTGCCAGAAAAGCTGAGAGTTTTTGATATTACAACACAATATAGCTGAAAGAAAAAATATCTAAAAATCACATTGGCACACAATGTTCTTTAGAATAATCCTTGCTATTAACACTGTCTCCAAAAACACTGGTCCAAATAGCACAATGGGAAATAATTCCACTTTCCCACAATATTTATTGGTATTAATTATTATTAAGTAAGAGTAAATATAGCACAGCAAACCTGCAAGACACTTTACAGCAGTAAACACTTACATCCCAGCTGAGATGAGTTTCCTGTCTTAATGTAATTGATGTTTTGGGTCTTAATGAATGATTTTTCCCCCACATGATATGTGCAAAACTCCCATTGTAACAGCACTGATTGCCAAGTCCTCATTAAAACCAATTACGATGGGAGGATATAGAGCCTTCAGAGCATCCCTCTTGTGATAAAACCTTACAGAAAGAGTCGGTCCCAGAGGAGGGTGGATTTTCATGCATTAGAGTCACACAATTATGCAACCTTTCTTAACATGGCCCGGAGGACCGAGTCACACTGCAGTCATACCTTAAGGTCCCTGTGCACGATGCCCATTCTGTGAAGGTAGTAGACAGCATCTAGGACCTGCCGGATCAGGGTGCTGGCATCCTTCTCAGTGTAGAACCCTTTCTCAACGATGCGGTCGAAAAGCTCTCCCCCAGACACTCTGGAAAACATGATGGAAGCAGAAGTGTGAGGACGTGCTTTGTAATGTGCTTTCTACCTCCCTAAAGGATGGTCAAGGCCATGCACCAGTCACAGGCAGTCCAAGTACATGTTTTTTTAGACCTCTAGGGACTCCCAAACTGTCCCAACAAGCATTTGGTTTTGGTTTCTTGGTAGTCCAAGGGCTGGTCTATGCCTCAGAGACCAGAAGAGTAGCAAGATACAAAGAAAACAAGTAGAAGAACTAAACCACAAATAGTCAAGATATAACGGGCAATAAATTCATCACACACCAGAGAGTGGTCAAAGACTCACTAGAATTTGCAGAAGGAAATCATAACTCGACCTCAGCAAGAGCCAGGGGAGCAGACGCTGGTTTCTACACTGTCCCACCCAAGTGAACTTTGTATAGGTGAATTTGGTCTGCCCTTCCAGCTGGTGTTGGCCCACTGAGACTGTAAGGCTCTCTACTAGTATGAGCCCTTGGGGTTCACTTTTCACTCCACTGACCAAGGCTTGGGTTTTGCCCTGGAGGAATGGTCCCATTCTCCTTCGCCCACCAGCCAGTGAAACGCATACAGTAGTTACCGCCAATACCTATAGAGTGTTAGTTCATTAAAGGTCTCTGGGTCCTTTTTAAATGGGCAATTTTAAATGCTCTCAGAGGTCTCCCCCTTTACCCATACTTGTATCTTCATTTATCAGCAGCCACAAACTCTTTAAGCAGAGCACGGCCTCTGCCTGGCACTGGTAGCAGACAGTTATTGATGAGGGAATGCAGATTATCAGTGCAATTAATCACCAGATGACACAGATGGGGAAAGGATTCCACAACTCAAAGAGGAAAGAAAATGAAACCTTGACATCCCACTATTTAATGTCTGCTATATTACTCTTTTCCTCTACCCTGCTAGAAATAACACGTTCTGAATCCAATCTTAAATAAAGAATGGACACATTAAAACTCCCTGGAGGAGTATCTGGGGAAACAAAAGAGGAAAGAAATGTCTGAGTAATTGAAATAATAAAACTGTCAGAAAAAACCTGCCCTACTAGGGTAAATAAAAGATTTCCATTTTAACAAGCAAAACCTATTAAAAAATAAAATGTATGCAATATGTTTTTTCAGCAAGTTGCACCACTTAGCATATCATAAATAGCACAGTAAAACTTTCTTTAAAAACAAACCTAATAAAGGGAAAATAATAAATTATTACAGTCATTAAATACATAGGGACTGGGAGCTTGTCATTATATGAACACTAGGTAATTCAGCCACAGGCACTCCAAGCAGTAATCTGCTTGAATAATGCCATGAAGTCACTTCCTAAGGAAGTTTGGAGCCTGAATGGAAGAGAAGGCTACCACTGAAAATGAACACATTCAACTTTGAAACTGGAAAGCAATCTGGGAAATAAAAAATTAAACCAGATAATCCCTCTATTAAGTGCTAGGCAAACAAACCAAACTGCTTGGGAAAATACTGGCATTAAACTGGAACTCTGCAGTAAAGGTGAAGTTCACCCAGGGTCTGGAGATCACCCTGGAGACTCCTGGCTGTGCCAGCAGCTCTGGGGCTTGCTGCTGTCAGACAGGGGCCAGTGCAGCAGTGCTGGGCTGACCATGGGGTGAGGATAACACCCTGGTACTCTGCCAAACTAGAGAACCCATGACCCACGGCACAGCAGGAGAGGAGGCATGGCAGGTAGAAGCTGCACCATCAGAAGTGCCATCACACAATAACCTGCTCTGAGATGATACCCTGAACAATGCACAGAAAAACTTGAATTAAACCCCTTTCTTTCCTAGTTTCTCACAACAGGAGTTGCACTGCTGCTGTGCACATACATATATATGTGCATAGAGTGTTGCTCCAAGCCCCTCTCAGCCCTACACCCTTAGCCCGACCCATCGCGTGCCTTACCAAGGGAAAATGGACAAATCTCTGCTTTGCTGTTCGCTGAAGGCAGATACAGTTTTATTGAATCTGGCTCCTATTAGCTGACTTGTCTTTTTATATTTCCCCTGTAGCCTTTTTGTTTCCTGTGGATTGATTGCACTGAAAATTGAGCCCACGCAGTAATTAATATGACTGAATACAGCACATTTCCCCATGAAAATGCAGTGCGTGCTGTTTTGCAATTTCGTACAGTTACTTTTGTTATATTCAAGAGATGGACTGCTTTAGTAGATACTGATTTACACCATGTGCTCTCCTGTACAAGGACCCTCTCCTTCAACGTTTGTAGAGTATACTTCCATAAAATTTTTTTAATTAAAATGACAAAATTTCCCTCCATGCCAGCTCACTCCCTATCCCCCTTAAGCCTCCTTCTTTAATCAAAAGCTTTTCTTAGTCAAATTTAGTCCAGTGGATCTACTGTACCCAGACTCAATCTGTTTATAATTTTATTTCACCACACAGAAAATATTTGCAACCTCTTAAATGATGCATTGCAAACCAGAGCTTAATCCAGGGACTCAGGGGGAACAGCTGGTAAGTTCATAGCCACTTGCTTTTCCAGAGTGTCAACAGCAGCCCAGGTACACGCAGAGAGTCGAGGGACCCGTGCTCCTATTTATTCGTGTTGTGACTCCCCTTTATGGTATATGGGATTTGCATTACATGTCTGCAATCACCTATAGAGTCTGCAAGTGTCATGGCTGAGGTTCATCTCCCGGGGATTCTTCACAGCTCAGCACCCAAGGCCATAGCTACTTTCCATATGGAGCTTATGTCCATATGGCTTTTCTTCTCCAAAATAGGGTTAACTCAACCGTAATGTGATTGGGAATGCTGCTTCCTGTGTGTTGCCGACTGACAGAAGTCAGTGCTGTTCTAGGAGCAAACCAGCAAGGGCAGCTGTGGGAGAGGGTTTGAGCTCTAAACTCATGGTGGAGATGTGGCTTGTTTGTCTAAAGTTGGTCTTGATCCCAACCCCTTCCACCCCACTGAGACGAGACTTGGCACCCTGCTCTGAACAGACCTAGACACTCACAAAGGGCTGCTGCAATTTGTTTGTTCCAGTCTCTATTATTTTGAGATAATTTTTCATTTTTTTAATGAAAGCACCAGTTTTGCCCTTTCTATGGCAATTTTGAGCAGTGCATGGGAGGTGGAGTCAAAACTACAGGCAGTAACAGTAGAGTTAGTTCTTTGTCTTAAAGAAATTTAAGACAAAATTTTCTGATCAGAAAGAGAGGGTAGGAGGGATTTCTTATTAGTGGAAGAGGACTGCTCCTGTCTTGCAGCTGGCACTGGCTCATGGAGCTGGACACACTGTCCCAAACATCAGCACAAGGAACCTTTTTCCTCTGCTGATTTCAATCTTTGTTCCCTGCAAAGAAAAAGTCAAAGGAAGAGTAGCCAGGTGCAGTTACCCAAAAAGCATTTAACCCTGGGAATAGCTCAAATGTCACGCTGTGATCCAGAGGAGCATTAGGAGTTCTCTGTCCCCCTGCAGCCCATGGAGTTCCATGGTGGAGCAGATGTCCACCTGTAGCCTGTGGCGGACCCCACGCTGGAGCAGGTGGAGGCCTGAAGGAGGCTGTGACCCCGTGGGAAGCCCGTGCTGGAGCAGGTTCCTGTCAGGACCTGTGGCCCATGGAGAGAGGAGCCCAGGCTGGAGCAGGTTTGCTGGCAGGACTTGTGACCCCGTGGGGGGACCCGCACTGGAGCAGTCCCTTCCTGAAGGACTGCACACCAGACAGGTCCCTACAGACCTAGTGTTTCATTAAAAGACTTTGCATATCAATCATGCAGATGATGTAAATCTTTCAGAGCATCTAGCCTGGTGCTGGAGTTTGCAATAAACTCCTACAGTCCTCTGGTCTGAGGTGAACTACAGAAAGTTTGCCCAGCTCTAATGAAGGTGAACAAGGAAACAGAGGCAGATGTTAAAAACAGAATCAGTGTCTGTTGTTTTATATATATATATAGATATATAGATGATATATAGATATATAGATATATATAAAATTCCCCCCCACC